CCTCGCGCTTCCAAGTGAATTTAGGTCCTCGCTTGGTATTCCAGTGAACCTTCACTATCCGGATACGACGTTTGTTTTGTGCGCTGGACTTCCTGATCCATGATTTCAAATGATTCCTCCATGAAGTGTAGGCTCTCGTCTAGCTTCCCATCGTTGAGGGGAATCACAAGTGTCTCACCGGACGGACACTTCTTTAGGTTCGACACATGGAAGACGGGATGGACATTGCAAAGTTCCCGAGGTAAACCTTCTAACCCGGTCGGAGTTAATGGATACAGGTACTTCATGAAAACGGATTACTTCTCGAAGGTATACTCGGGTGAGTCTCTCAATTTTGTATTCGGACTCTCGGTGGATGTTTCAGTGGATTTCCGCTGCTGTATCCGATGTTCCGATTCATACTCTTCGCATGAATACTCTCGGGTTTCGAAGAGAGACGATTTTTGAAGTTAGCATCCAGTTTGTCGTAACAAGTGACGAGAGTTTTGCGATCTAGCGATTTAAGACAAAATGGTCTTCGTGGGTACAAGTGGTTTCGGTATGACGTAGACTCATTCGTACTAAGCAGGATGACGTCGTAGGATCGCGCGTTGAGTTAGTCCGGAAGGATCATTTTGTTAGCACATTGGTGCCCCTGGGTGAATGTTTCTGGTGTTTTCTGTTTTTGATTCGAAATTGGCGGGTACTACTAATACGAGGGTTCTGATACTTTGAAATTATGAACTCTTTATGAAATGGTTCTTACTAGATCTCTCTATAATCGCTTGGTGTATACAAGTCATGTATAACTACAACTGACTCTAATGTATACACTAAGCCATCATAATTTACCCATTAGGGCTTAAATTTTATAGGAATGTCGTGATTTAATGTGGACGAGAAAGTAATCATAATTATAATCGATTATTGGGGTTTCGAAAGCTTACCAAAATATAGCAGAGTTCTTTGATGCTTCCCCATTCTCTGAGGTCAGACTCCTCCTGCTTCCCCGTCGTTCTTCTCTGTTGGGCAATCTCTTTTGAAATGTCCTACCCCACCACAGAGGTGACATGTTGGACTAGTCCCCACTTTGGTAGTCGTAGTGATGAACTCGACTGGGGTCCTACAGCTGCGGGCGGTGTGTCCCTTCTTGTTGCATTCGAGCCAAAAGCTCCATCAAGAGGAGTTTACGGCCGTAAACATGAGTGTACGACGGTAAACTCAAGGTGGCCGTGAACTCCTCCCTTATGTAGGATATTCCTTCATTATTCTTCATTTCTTACACTTTCAACTCAAGAACTTTCATTTCTCTCTCAAATATCATCAAGATCACTTCGATTTCTCGACAAATTTGTAAGTGATTCTTCCGTTTATTAGTTGATACCTTTCATAATCTAGTAAAATCCCTTGATTTCATCCGTGAAATCACCTCTTTTGGGTTAGATCTTCAAGAACACCAAGAACACACACTAGCTCTTTGGACCGTGAACACCCCTTCAAGCTTCAAAACGTAAGTATCCTTTCCATATACTAGTTTCCCATTAGAAGCTCTTGAATCACACCCTTGAAATCAACCACTTTAGCTTGTTAATCAAGAGTTTATGGCCATAGCATCTCCTTTGGCCGTAAACCCTTCTCAAGAACACCAATGGCCGTGAACATCTAGGGCCGTAAACCCTAGCTTCTTCTTGTGTTGGCCGTAAACTCTCATGGCCGTAAACTCTCATGGCCGTAAACTCCCATGGCCGTAAACTCCCATGACCGTAAACACCAAGGCCGTAAACACACTTGTGTGACCGTAAACCCCTTTGATGCAATCATATGTGATTGTAACACTCCAACCTAAGTGTTTCCTAGTCCCCTAAGGTGGTTTTCCTTGCATGATTAGTTGTTTATACACTAATTATATACATATATGTGTCATTATATGCTTAATAGGATCCGTTTTGTGCTCGAGGCTTCACTTGACACTTAGTATCCTTTATCGAACTTACATTCGTATCACTCACTTCAGGTGAGTTCATACCCCTTAACTTATCTTTTAAATGATTTTAAATGCTTTTATGGGGGGATGCAAGTAGAAACATTATAGTTATTATATCAATCACATGTGATTAATAACTATCAAACAAGTGGATTTTTTATATTTCAAAACTGTGTTAGCAATCAAACTGCTTCAAATCGTTTTATAAACTCTTTTATATGTTAAACTCTTTATCATGTTACAAAACTCTTTTTAAACTCATATATTGTCAAAATCATGTCTATATAGATATAGTTATATAAATAAGGTTGAAAGGGCTTAGGACTGATAACTCGCCTTATTTCCTGTTCCTTGTTTGGTTGTGGACTTAGGGTACTGGTTGTTTGACCGAGTGTCATTTGAATCTTAGTTATATATTATGTATATGTGTATAGACATAAAAGTTCTTACATCAATTCAACACCTTTGGGTAGCAAAGGTGTACAAACATGCTCAGTCATTCAAACAACATTACTAGTAAACTATAATAGGTATAGTTTAGAGGATTACTACTCACTAATTCTAGAACAATGTAACATACAAGAGTCAGTTCATACATAAGTCAGTTCAAACATACTATAATGAGAAACGGAGAGAACATACTATAATGAGAAACAAAGAGGAATATACTATACACTAGAACATAGAGAACATACAATACACTAGAACAGAGAGAACATACACTACACTAGAACATACTATACAAATACAAGAACACTATAACATTAATGTGAGCCACTACTTCATGACATGGTAATATAATGCTGTGCCACGTTTTGTAACCAGAGTCTCCTGGGGGGAGAGCGTGAATTTGTGTATAGATCTATACGGGATTGACCATCCTACACCTTGCTGCTAGCTACAGTGGGACCTGCAGGTCTACGGGTGACGAATGTCATACCATTTCGATGTCTCGAACGTCGTGCATTACTAGTCAATCAAGTATGGTTATAATCATATCACATTTTACGTTAATTAAACAAACAGGTTTAAAGTAGTTATTACATTGGTAGTTACTTATATATAAAGCTACAGTACTTCTTTATTTTTCCCATTTCATTCACATTGTGATCTTCTCACATAAACGGTAATGAAAACTATATTTTGGTAATGATAGTCATACTTGGGAAAAATACTCACTTTTACATAAGAACAAACTTACAAAACAGTCGAGTCTTGGTAGAAGACTACTTTAGTAGAAAATATAGGATTTTCTAGGAAGTATTCAAACATTTACATTCAAACACTTACAAACGTTTACATTAAACATTTACAACAATTTCATCAAACTTATACAAACAATGACATTAAACACTTATGAACTCACCAGCTTTAATGTTGATCTACGCTTTCAAAATAACTTGTATTCTCAGGTCACAAGTAGACAGGTACCGATGACCAGGTTTTGAGAAGACGGAGCACGTTCAAGACTCGTCTTTTATTTTGATGCATATTTTGGTATCTTATAAACTATACAGAACACACTTTTATTGAATTATATTATTAATGCAATGGATGATGTTGTTGCTTGTTTTACTATTATGCATTGTTGTGATACTGTACATGACGTCCTCCGCCCCCGAACATTTCCGCCGTTCTGGTTTGGGGGTGTGACATCGTGGCATGCATTCAACCCACCAATCCTCCCTTTGATGCTTTCAAGCTCTCAACTGGCCTACATAGGAAAACAGGTGTTGCATGACTATGTCTACATTTTGTAAAGTTTTTATTGTGCAAAGTACTTTCACCACTCCAAGGTCCATGTGTAATTTGTATCTTGTAAAATCTTTTAGAAACTTATTTAGTAATTGTTATCAAATTTTTTCTTGTTAAGATATCATAGTTTACATTTAGATGACATTATATTTTGTATTTGGATCATATGGTTATAACTTGGTATATTTTTAAAGGGATATATACACTAAAGTCCCAATATTTTCATCAATTTGACAATAAAGTCCTAAACTTTATTTTTTTGACAGTAAAGTCCAAACTACCGACAGATTTTGACACTTTTACCCTTTTTTCCGGTTACCCGGTAATTAGGACTTCATTGTCAAAAAAATAAATTTAAGGACTTTCTTGTCAAATTGTAAATTAGGACTTTACTGTCAAAAAAATAAATTTTAGGACTTTCTTGTCAAATCGTTGAAAATATTGGGACTTTAGTGTATATATCCATTTTTTGTTAGAAATTTAATGATATGATAGTCTTTAAGCATAAGAGTTAATGAAATCTGCTCTAGTCAGTTAGATCCTATTGAAATTCCTAACGTTTGCTTCTTGTTAAATAATTTTTTTAATCTCAACAAACCGACATTGAAAAAATGAAGATAACAAGAAAAAAACAAAGAACCATGGTTGTGTTGACTTTTTGCAGTCCTAAAAATGGAGAACGAAGAAACCGGAAAAAATGAAACTACCCTTCTTACACACCTAGTCAAAAGGGTGTGAATGTTGAGAACTGGTAAGAAGGGCAGTTTCATTTTTTCCGATTTCTTCGTTCTCCGTTTTTAGGACTGCAAAAAGTCAACACAACCTTGATTCTTTATTTCGAGTCATGTACGACTACACACCCTACACCATATTAGGTTCGGGCATGTGACTTAAACTATGTTTGACATACTAGATTAAAATCTAGCTGAAAAAGAAAATTACGTTTGATAAAAACTAGCAGATAAAGTATTTGGAATATAAAAAAAAATAACATAAAAACACATATAGGATAATAAGTTTTCTATAAATAATTAAGGATATATTTGAAATATTAAATGTTTTTTTTGAAAAGCTAGTGTAAGTAGCTTATTAAAAAGTTAGGTTATAACTTACTTTTTAGCTTGCCAAATATGACGATTTCAAAAAAAAAAAAATAAATAAAAAGAAAAAAAAAATAAAAAGCTAATCACATTCCTAATGAAAAAAAAAACAAATTGGTGAATCAAACAATATAACAATCACACCTGTACTCTACAAATACAAAGGTCTTGTAGCTACTTTACAAATATAATTGTTTTAATATAAAATAAATTACATATTTCTCTTTCATACAAAACTAGTTTAGTAATATATATGGGCACACATTATTGAACCGAAAATGACAATTCCTTATCCAAAAGAAGCGAATATATGCTAGAGTTTATGCAAAATCAAATGAGCCCCATGCTGGGGTTGAACGGTGATAACCATATGAGGAGCATGGACATAGGATGGTGAAAGTTCGAAAGAGAACCTTTGTAAGATCATTGCCAGGGCAACTTTAGCTTCCATCAATGCAAAATTTTGTCCAACACATATTCGAGGTCCCCAACCAAAGGGAAAGTAAATGACTTGATTTTTTGTTGCTTTTGAGATTCCTTCAGAAAACCTATCGGGTTTGAATTTCTTGGCATCATCACCCCAAAATTCCTCATCATAATGAATATTCATGACAGGTATTCCAATCTGAGTTCCAGATGGTAGTAAAAATCCTCCCAATTTGAGATCTTTTTCAACTTTACGGGCTAGCCCAACAATAGGAGGATATAGCCTCAATACTTCATGGAAAATCATATTTACCTATGTGGAAAGAAAAAAAAAATGATGATTTAAAAGACTAGTTTAAATTTTGAGAAATAACTAACACCTAACAACTCAAAGCCAACCCATAAATTACATGTTGTTTAGAGATTTCAATAAAAGGGTCAACCATAATCAACCCGTTTAATAAACTATGTTGAGTACGGATTAAAAATTTTAACCGATAACAATATGTTGTTGGACCATTTAAATATATATTTATTTATATATTATGTTTAATCTTGTAAACTTGGGATGTTATTTAGGAAAAGAAGATGTTAGTCTAATTAACATCGAACAATGATTTCGGTTTGTAACTTATTCAAGTAAGTTCGAACTTTTTTTTTATAGTTAAATTTTAATTGTTGAAAGGGAAACTAATGTCGAATAACTTATCTCTAAGACGTTGCATCCATGGGTTAGGAAAATTAAATGGGCCAACCTTCGGCCTATCCACTTTTCAAAAGGTCATCCATTTTTGTAATCGTGTAATCAATCGGATTGGGTAAAATTTAAAATCTCAACCAGTTTTATCAAATATGTCAACCCAAACCCAATGTGGCCCATTTTCTGATAGAGAATTAACCAAATGATATAAACACTTACAACTTTGAGGTGATTTATCCCATCTACATCGATACTTTTGTTCCCAAGAACATTGAAAACTTCTTCCCTCGCACGTGACTGCCATTCTTGATGCTTACTTAATAAAATCATCGTCCATACAAGCAAGCATGCTGTTGTCTCTTGTCCAGCAAAATAGAAAAGCTTACACTCTTCAATAACTTCGTCAGTAGTCATTCCATGATGCTTGTTTTGGTGCTCCTCAGCCTCTTTGCTATTAGATTCAAGCATTATTCCTAACAAATCGTCATTGTTACCTTCTCTAGCCTCCATTGCTATAAGCCGGTTGCTAATGATACCTCTTATAGAACGTGTTACTTTTCTGTCGATAGCCATCATCCTTATGTTCCTCTTTGTTGGAAAGAACCTAAGCAGTCATAGTAGAAACAATTAGCTTTAAATAAATAAGACAACATAACCATCCATTTTATAATGTGTAACAACAAATTTAAAAACCTTCAAAAAGATATCCGAACATTTTTATATAACTTACGATTATAAAGTACAAATAACCTAAAATCGAATTAAATATAAAAAAAATCTTAATTTTTGATTCTTCATTCTTTAAAAAGTGAAAAAAAAATGATCTCGGTCCAACCGTCAATATTGTATATTTATTCTTCTTCACTAATTGTATGTAGGTTTGAGTAAGCGTCATTGATGTTGGGGAATCTAAACGAAATAGGGTAATTGAAATCTGGATAACAAACAGGAATCGTGTAAAACACTTTCCTTGTTTGATATTTCGACCCTAAATGCCTTGGGTGTCACGAAATCCAAACTGGGATAATTCCTGATGTAACAATTCTGATTTTAGGCACAAAAACAGAATCAATTTTGAGAAGAAGATGAAGAAGAAAACGTTTCCAGTTTTCTGTGTTTCAAAGGAGTCGTCCTTTTCCCGGACTTATCCACTCAACGGATAAACGAGAACAGTTTACATCTTTAAAGAATGACCGATTAGTCCTTGAATTTGCATCTTTAAAGAATGACAGATTAGTCCTTGTACTCTGCTAAATACAAGTGTTTAGTAGATACAAGTGTGCACTCCCACACCTCCTAAACTGGGACCCCCGACTTGACACAGTAGATTAGGGTTCGGTACTAACAATGTTTAGTAAATACAAGTGTGCACTCCCACACCTCCTAACTTGTATTATAACTAAAACATTATTCTTGAAACACTTGTTAAGTCCATTATACTAAAATATATTTGGTAATAAAATCACCAACAATTGATTCCCTCTTCATTGAGATAATGAGATTTGTTAGTATTAGATGTAAAAATGTATCTACTATTTACTTATTTAACTGTTGGAGACTTGCATGTACTTGTATCCGTTTTTGATTGTTGGTAATCAATTGCAAAATTGCAAGACAATAACCCTTATTAAATATATTTATTATTGGTAAACAATTGCATGAACGTTATACAAATGGAAGTGAAATTGTTAGATCATTAGAAGAAAATATAGTTATATAATTTGCAAAACAACACCACTTTTAGATCATTTATTAAATTAAACTAATCACTACATGATTCACTTGTGAATATAATTTTTATGAAATGGTTTAATCAATTACAATAGCATCAAAAAGTGAGAAAGTGAGAAGCATGCATTATTTTGGCTTTGATGGGTAAGCAATGCATTAATTATGTTTAGCAATGTTTTTTTTTTGCTTGAGAACTGAGAAATGAGAGAAAGACGATATGAATGCATTTAATGTATAATATTAATAAATCGATTAGTTTCATTTCAGTTCGCTTTTAAACTAGTTTTAGTCTTTAACTGATTTAGGACTAAAACTGATCTCACTACTAGAAACAGAGCGACATACACTCGGCAATCTGTCATTAAATGCGGTTGCGACGAATCAATGACGTTAGCAACAGACCAATTTTATTTTGCGACAAACCAAGCGAAAAAAACAAGGAATTGGGGTGAATGAATTAATTTGGGAGGGAGGAAAGTTGATCACGTGGAATCGGGGAAACGAATTAATTTTGGAGTGAAAGTAAAAGTTTATGCCAATTTTAGTGAGGGTGTATGAGAGACTCTTATGGAAGACACATACAACTATCAACAACATATCTGCAAGAGAAAATTTTGATAGATTTCGCTTGATGCGTTTAAAGATTTTGTTGCAGTTCCCTCGCTATATTAAATACTTCGCTAAAACCCTGTTTCTTTGTTTTTTAGATCCGCAAGTTAGTATATGATTTGTATCGAGACGATGACCTCTTTCTTAGAAACAATTTATTAGAGGCTTTGTTAACCATAGAGGTTAGCCCCAACTTGTTGAAAACCCTATTTTTAATAGTGTATTCTAAGGCAAAATATGACTATTTAAGATGGATGCTACTATATATATTCTAGATCTCATTGTCAAATTATTAGGAGTAAGCATTCACTAACTCACATATATAGATTGTCAAATTATAAGGGGTAAACATTCACTAAGTCACATAGATAGAGGTACACGAAACAATCGGAGAGTACCCATATACTTGGCCATCTTAAAGAGTCATAATTTTGCAAATAATGACATTTTGCAAAAATAATAATAATAATAATAATAATAATAATAATAATAAATAAATAAGGTCATTCCACAAACAAATTGTATTTCCCAAGAAAATTTATTGCCAAATTCTAGTTTAGGAAATACGTGTATTTCTGATATTTGTTCCAAAAGCCAGTCATTCACCTTGCCATATTAGTAATTTCTGTGACTAAACCTAAATTTTTTTACTAATTCATAATCTTTTTGGACCTTATTAACAAAGCATATCATTTTTTTTTCTGAAAATGCATGGGACTTACCTAAATCCGGGGATGTAAAGTGATGTTAGTGCCTCCTGTACGAGTACACTTTGTTCTCTTATGAGTTCAAATATATGAAGACCTTGTTCATAATTACTTCCAAATGCGGTTCTTGATATCACATCACCCGTTAAAGATTGAAGATCAGGCCATATATCGAGCTCACATGACCCCTTTGACGAAACTAATTTCTCCCACTTCCCTAGCATTTCATTACCACTTAAATGGAAAGCGGGTACCATATTCTGGGAACAAAATAATGAAAAAATTTGTTAACATTTAAAAAAACAATATTAGGCAGGTGTTTTATGGTTTGTCAAAACAGAAATGGTAACGGGTAAGGACAACTATAAGAGCTCGTATGTGATGTTAATGTGGTTTATTATTTACTAGGTGTGAGACTCGATTATTATACAGGTTTATAAAAAAAAGTTTAATATAAAATTATAACCATTACATATTTTTTAAAGTAATAATTTTACATAAATACAAAGAATATAATAAATAAAGTAAGTAATTTAATACATAATGTAAGATATTTGAAAGGTTGTAGAACATTTATTATGAAATTTAATAGAAGGATCTACTTACATATATAAATCTTACTAAAATGTTGATTTTAAATTTAAAAAAAATGAAAAATACAAGAAAATGATAAGTGGAAAAAAGATTTTCAAAAACTCTTACAAAATGACATGTGACAAATTCAATCATAACATAACATTTGGCAAAATTGATTTTCATTTATTAGGTTAGATGTGGTTAGTCTTTTACGCATACAAAATGACCAAAATATCATTTTTAATTGATTTTAAACATTTTTCTTAATTTTATTTTACTAATTAAATTAAAAAAAAAATCCACACCCTACCACAATAAGGTTAAGGAGTATGGCAACTACATACCCACTAGAAAAATGTTATCACATCTATGTTACGTCACATTCATTACATTTCACTACACTTTAGAAGTGGTTACCATTGCATTATTATGGTGCTTTTTATTTTTTATTTTTTAATATTAAACTAAATAAAAAACATAATTTACAAAATTAAATATATATATATATATATATATATATATATATATATATATATATCTATATATATATATATATAGTTTAGGATTTAATTTAATTTAAAGGTAAGTAGAAGGGTATAATGAGATATAGAGACATATTTTCAGGAACCCTAATTGTAACTCAATTAATAACAAAATTGGATGTTTTGTCGTATCTTCCTCTTAACTCCTCTGATACCTATATTTTTTAAATGGTTTCCTTCTTGACCCGTTTTTTGGAAAACGGGTTGTAGCCATTACTAAACTCAAAGCTTCAATCTGCCATTTTTTACACCATTTAATACATATAAACAATATCTACATTTAATAAATAAATGAAGTGGAAGTATTTTTGACCGTTTGGAAAGAAATTCATTGATTGGTCTTGATCGAGCATAGCCCATACCATATCACAAGACACCTACTCCACTTGAGAGTGGTGTTTACGCGTAGTTTGGCATGTCACGGTGGATTTCACCCCAACTATATCACCAGACACATGCTCCCCTTGTGAGTGGTGTTTACGCGTAGGTTAGCATGTCACGGTGGATTTCACCCCAACTATATCACCAGACACATGTGCCCCTTGTGAGTGGTGTTTACGCATAGGTTAGCATGTCAGGGTGGATTCACGTGTGGATTTCTATCCCATACCAGATAATCTAACCATTGTGTTTTTCCATAGTTCCACTTACCTTGCAAATCACATAAATCTACTACCAAATCTAAACGTTTTCCTTTTGATGACCACCCATGTTCAATTCCATAACTCTCAAACCTAAAATCGAGTCCCAAATTGAACCTAAATTTCATATCAAAACCTAATTCATGGAAATCTTATGTAAATTACTCCTACAAAGTTGAAACCTCCATATTGTCATCCTTTTTGTGTGATGAAATCCAGTTTTGGTTGAAGATAATGAACATACGAAGTTTTTTTTGGGTTGAAAACTACAAATCGAAGTTTTTTTTTAGGTTGAAACCTCTAGATTAAAGTTCTTTTGGGTTGAAACCTCTATATCGAAGTTAATTTCTGGATCGTAACCTTCAGATTGAAGTCTTATGTGTGTTTTCCTTCATCGAGTACGAATTTGAAATTTGATTTTAGATTTCAAATATGAATTTGGGGACGATCACAAGCTTTCGAATGAGAATATAGGGATAAAAATTTGAATATGAAAGTCAGGCTTCAAAACCCTCAATTGAGCTTCTAGATTTTGGTGGTGGTGGTTGCTTCTTTGAGTGGCGACTAAGATTGGGGGCGGGGGTAGCAATGGGTGGTTCTTTGAGCGACAACTAAAGATGGTTATGCCGATGGTGGTTGATGGTGGTGGCGGCGGCATTGGTTGCTTCTTTGAGAGAGAAAGATGAAGGATAATTTTGTTTTAGCCTAGGTGGGGTAAGGGTAAGGTTTGTTTATTATTATTTTTAACTGAATTTGTTTTAAAAATGTTAAATAATTATGAATATAGAAATAAAAATTAATTAAGAAATCAAAAACGATAAAATAGTATTTTCGGATCGGTTGCCTAACAAAATGAAACCATCATGAACCAATATTGTAAGAAATAAAACAATAAAAGAACAATGATCAATAAATATATTAAATGCTTTGATAGTTGTTCTAGCCAACTAGTTTTAACAAAAGACTTGAACAATAGTGTAATTTTATTTTTAAAAAAGCATTACATTCACAAAAATATTAATAAAATAATTTATAATGTCATGAACTATTCTAGAATTTCTAATTTGTTCGACCGAACTAAAAAGCTAGGAGTGATTTTGTCTTCTACCAACATGTCATGTAATAGCAAGTTTTAGAATAAGAGATGTCGACTATCACTTCCTTCCATTTTTTTTCTTGCCAACTCATTCCCTTACCCTCCATTCACTCCTTTCATCGATAGAAAACATAAAGGAATCTAGATTATTCCAGTGAATAGATAAGCATAGATGTTTCGTATTTATCTGTTTGTTTTTCATTATCTTTTACTGAATTTTAGGATCTCAGGATATATATATATATATATATATATATATATATATATATATATATATATCCTGTTTGCTTTTGTATTGAACATCAGTTACGTTATGAATGAAAAAGACAGTGCACAAATTCTCAATTAGATCTTTTATGGTATCAGAGCGTGTGATCAGTTAGATCATAGGTTAACGAAGATCATGACAGGGGAGAAAGGAGACGGAAGCAAGAAGGACGGAGATGTCATTGATGCCAATTCACCCTTTTATATCCACCCGTCTGACTACCCGAAACAAATGCAGGTTAACGACATATTGAACGACAATAGTTTCAGTGAATGGAAGCAGGAGATGACTAATTTTCTGTTTGCAAAGAACAAGATAGGACTGGTCGATGGATCAGTCAAGAAGTCGGAATCAACAGCACCTACGTACATGGCTTGGATGCGAGCCGATGCCATGGTGAAGGGATGTATGGCAACAGCCATGGAGAAAGACATTCGAACCAGTGTTAGATATGCAAATACTTCAGCCGAAATCTGGAAGGACCTTGAAGAAAGATTCGAGAAGGAGGGAGCACCACGTGCCTATGAGCTGAAACGGTCGTTAAATGCCACCAGACAAGATGGATCTTCTGTCTCTTCTTATTACACGAAACTAAAGGCTGTGTGGGATGAACTGCAGCTTGTTCTTCCCATGCCCCGTTGCACGTGTGACAAATGTGACTGTGAATTGGGAAAAAGATTGAGTGAACTTAAAGAAAAGGAGAAAATCTATGAGTTTCTCATGGGACTGGATGATGATTTTTCTATCATCCGTACACAAATACTTGCTATGAAGCCAGCTCCGTCCTTGGGGGCAATATACCATCTAGTGGCTGAAGATGAGCAACAACGAGCAATTTATGGAGGTTCAAGAAGAGTTGGTGGTGAAGCAGCGGCTTTTCAAGTGAATTTAATGGGGAAGAAAAACGCACGAGGGCAAGGAACTCAATCAGCTAGCAAGCCCATTCCAAAGACATTCAAGCAAAGTAATGACAAGGCAGAAAAATGCACCTTTTGTGGGAAAGATGGTCACAATAAGGATGGGTGTTTCAAGAAGATAGGGTATCCGGACTGGTGGCCCGGGAAGAAGGATAAACCCAAGCCGAAGGTAGCTTGCATGGAGATGGGTCCTAGCCCTATACCAGGGCTAACCGAAGAGCAATATCACCTCTTTGTGGAACACTTCAAGGAGTCACTCAATGAGACAATTCCGAAGGCTAACTTGGCAGGTAGAGAAAATCCTTACGATGGATGGGTCGTTGACTCGGGTGCTACCGATCACATCACCTATAGAAGTGATCTTCTTGATAATAAAATCACTTACATGAAGGAGGCACCCGTCATCATTCCTAATGGTGACAAAATACCTGTTATGGGGGAGGGTGAACATACCCTTCCAGGAGGCCTTAAGATTAATGGAGTCCTGCATGTTCCGAATTTCAATTATAATTTGTTATCTGTGAATAAGCTTGCCAAGAACTTACATTGTGCTATAACCTTCTTTCCTGATTTCTTTGTGATGCAGAAGTTAGTGACGAGGGACTTGATTGGTGCGGGTAATTGCATTGGAGGACTATATCGAATGGGGGCGATGGAGAGGAAAGCTTTCGTTACTACCTTTGAGGTTTGGCACAAGAGGCTAGGTCATCCATCACCCAAGAAGATTTCTAGTTTAGGCTTTCTTAAAAATGTTTCTAGAAATGCTCAAGCTGAAGTGTGTGATGCTTGTTTTAAGGCTAAACACACAAGGCTTCCTTTTCCCATTAGTGAAATAAAGACTACAAATTGTTTTGATCTTATACATTGTGATGTGTGGGGAAAGTATAGAACCCCGTCTTTTTCAAAGGCTTATTATTTTTTGACCATAGTAGATGATTTTAGTCGATCCGTATGGACATTCCTTCTCAGACATAAGCATGAGGCTAACACACACCTCATAAATTTTCACAAAATGGTCAAAACGCAGTTTGGGAAGGAGATCAAACGTATAAGGTGTGACAACGGGGGAGAATTTGTCTCTCATAAAATGCATAGCTTTTATGCACAAGAGGGAATTGTCTTGGAGACTTCTTGTCCATATACACCCCAACAAAATGGGGTGGTTGAACGCAAGCATAGACATTTTCTTGAGACGGCACGAGCCCTTCGTTTCCAGGGCAATCTTCCCAAGGCTTTTTGGGGAGAATGTATTTTGACCGCTACTTACGTGATCAACAGGCTTCCCTCGAAAGTGCTCAATGGGGTCACTCCCTATGAAGTTCTTTTTAATCAATCACCCACTTATGATCACATGAGAGTATTTGGATGTTTGGCCTACTACCGAAGCACAGAAACCGGTGGAGACAAGTTTGAGCCGCGAGGTAGACCAGGCATCTTTGTTGGTTACCCACAGGGGACGAAGGGCTACAAAATTTATGACTTGGAGTACAGAAGGTTAGTAGTCTCAAGAGATGTAAGATTTCTAGAACATGAATTTCCAATGAAACGAATACAAGAAAGTAAGGAGACAAATGAAGAAGATGAAGACCTTTTTGTCTTCACTGATAAGGAGGTCACCACGACTCCGGTTCAGCATCCTTTCATCGTCGACAGCCACATCCGGGATGAAGCCCAAGATTATCACGATACTCTCGAGCTAGATAATACTACCATCGATGAAAACAGCGAACTCGTGGAGAGTGACAATCACGAGATCCAAGAAACCAGCAACACTGACAGCAACAGAGAGACTAGAACTCGATCTCAGCTAGTTCGCTTCAAAGATTATGACGTACAACTGCCTCCTTCGATAAGTCATCCGCAACCCGCTGCCAATCGAGTCGCCTCCACGGTACATCCTCTCACTAATTATGTCTCATATGAGAAATTTTCTAATGCTCACAAGTCCTTTTTAGCTGCCATCGCCACCCACGATGAGCCAAAGTTCTTTCATCAGACTATTAAAAATGACCGATGGAAAGAAGCCATGCAAAAGGAGATCCAAGCTCTTGAACAAAATAACACTTGGTAACTTACATCGTTGCCCTCCGGAAAAAGAGCTATAGATTCCAAGTGGGTCTATAAGATAAAGTACAAGCCAAATGGAGATATAGAACGCTAAAAGGCCCGTCTTGTTGCTAAGGGTTACACCCAAATGGAAGGTGTGGATTTTCATGACACCTTTGCCCCGGTGGTTAAGCTTGTAACCGTGCGTGGTCTACTCACTATAGCTGTCAAACGTGACTGGATCATACACCAGTTAGATGTTAACAACGCCTTTTTGCATGGAGATTTGGACGAAGACATTTACATAAAGATACCGCAGGGTTTTAGAAAAGACAACGAAACACGAGTCTGTAAGCTCAAAAAGTCATTGTATGGGTTAAAACAAGCCTCGAGAAATTGGTATCAAAAATTTACTACAACCCTCCAAAGTCTAGAATTTCGACAATCTCAAGCTGATCATTCACTATTCGTTCATAAGCATGGCGACACCTTTGTGGCAACCCTTATTTATGTGGATGATGTTATAATTGTTGGTAACAACAAGAAAAAGATAGAACATACCAAATCTAGACTTGATGCGAGTTTTAGTATCAAGGATCTCAGAACCTTGAAATATTTTTTGGGCATAGAAGTGGCTCGTACAAACGAAGGTTTGGTTCTTAGTCAACGAAAGTACACCATTGATGTCCTAGAAGATTCGGGTTTTCTTGGATGTCGACCCAGCAGGTTTCCAATGGAACAAAATTTAAAATTAAATAAAGGAGAAGATGAAGATCGGGTCGATGCTAGTGTGTATAGACGTCTCGTTGGGAGACTCTTATATCTTCAAGCAACCAGACCTGACATTACTTATTACGTGAATGTTCTTAGCCAATTTGTCTCGGACCCTAGACAAAGTCATTGGAATGCTGCTATGCGAGTACTTCGTTATCTCAAAACTACGTTGGGACAAGGTGTGTTGTTACCAAAGACCGAGGATGTTGAGTTGATAGCATATAGCGATTCGGATTGGTTGGATTGTCCCTTTTCACGAAGTTCAGGGACGGGGTACATATTGCTCTTGGGAGGTGCACCGATTTCATGGAAATCCAAGAAACAATCAGTTGTTTCTCGATCCTCAGCTGAAGCCGAGTATCGTGCAATGGCTACTACTGTGAGTGAAATTCTTTGGACCCGTTGGTTGTTGGCAGAATTTGATGTTGATTTCCATGCACCAACACCTCTTTTGTGTGATAATGAGTCCGCCCGCAACATTGCTCACAATCCGGTGTTTCATGAGCGCACCAAGCATGTCGAAATGGATTGCTATTTCGTATGAGAACGTGTTTTGTCAAAAGAGATTGTTCATGTCAAGATAAGCACTCAAGACCAATTGGTTGACTTGCTCACTAAGCCACTTGGTTCAGATCGTTTGAAGTCGTTGTCGGACAAGCTGGGCATTCAGAATCTTCATGCTCCCGCTTGAGGGGGAGTAAAGGAATCTAGATTATTCCAGTGAATAGATAAGCATAGATGTTTCATATTTATCTGTTTGTTTTTCATTATCTTTTACTGAATTTTAGGATCTCAGGATATATATATATATATATATATATATATATATATATATATATATATCCTGTTTGCTTTTGTATTGAACATCAGTTACGTTATGAATGAAAAAGACAGTGCACGAATTCTCAATTAGATCTTTTAAAACAATCATCGTCACTCCCTTACTTTTTTAATATACAAATATCAATATTATATTTTATTTATAGAAAAATAGTTTAATTTATAGAAAAATTAAAAAACAATGATTTTTTATATCCTAGGTTTTGACCGGTAAAACCTTCTACGAGTATAAGGGCCATAAATATATGTACAAATAATAATCCGTTGACTTTATTAGAATTAAAATGGTTAATCAATCATTAGTGACCGATAAAAACTAACCAAAACTAGCTAAGAAGAGAACAATTTACATAGGTGAGAAAGCCAAATAATCAAAGTACCTTTAGCTTCTCCATATGGAAGGCTGGGTTGATTATTTTTCCTATGTTTAGCCCATTGATCTCCTTCGTAGTTCACTAATCCTGATGCTATTAACTGAGCAATTGGATTAGATTGCGGCTTTTGAAAATCATTTAACTTTGCAAATACATCTTTGATGACATCAGGGTCCATAATAGTCACTCTTGGTTTCCATCCCATCCACATGATGTAATTTTTACCTACAACAAAAAAATATATATAATCCCGATTATGTCCATGTCCCATTTCTTATTATTCATCTTTTTGTAAAAATAACATAAATTACATCTTTGCTCCCCAAGCAACATGTAAGATATAATCTTGACTTAGGAAAACCCCAGAATTCGATGTCACAATGCCAAATAATGTTTAACCTTTTCTTAATTCTTATTCTTTTTAACGAATCGAGTTGGAAGACCATATAGAGAAAAGAAGAAACTAACCATGTTTTTGCAAATAGTGATGGGTGAAAGCCACAACGCGTGGAAGAACTCCATCATCGTCATCCAAGCTTAAAGGCTTAGATTTGGATTCTTGGAACATCGAAGAAAACTCTTTCATATCCCCAAAAACAAATCTGTACTTGTTTCCATTGAAACCTTGATTCTTCAGGTACTTCTCCAGCTTCTTTGGTCTCACCCACAAAATATTTACCAACTGCCATGCACATAGTAGAGCTACTATAGCACATGAGATTGCCACTGTGTTTGTCACTGCATCGATCATGTTTGTTCACTTTTCAGAATACTGTGAAAGAAGACTCAAGTTATTGTTTGGTCCATCCTTTTATATATAGGTAAACTTTAAGTTTACATCTTCTAATAAAGTTAAAATTTTGACAAACTTTTAAAAACCGTTATGAGTATTAATCAAATATTTAATTATAATTTGTAATAAATACAAAATAAATAAATTTAACGTGTATATTGGAATCAAATATGTTTGAATTTTCTATGGCAATTATTGAAAGGGAAGTTGCACTCATGGACCTTATCCACACATTGACCACTATACGATGACCCTGAGTTTTTTCCATGCTCAAAACGTAATAGAAAAGTGACATATGCAGTGACATTTATAGGACATTATCCTTTTCCTTTTTTCTTAAAGCATTAGGGATGGGTCCGTTTTGATGATGTTATAACAAGAAGCAACAAGATGAGGGGTGGTGTTCATGGTGTTATAACACCATGTTAAGAGGAGAGAGATAGAGAGAGATAATTTGGTAGCCAATAGGTGATTACGATTCTTCTTGTCATGGAGACAACAAGAAGCACCACAACAAGATGCAACAAGAAGAGGGTGGTGTCTTTGATGTTACCACAGCGTTATGGGCTGCCACATCAGCCTTAACGGCCTTGTGGTGACCCATACCACATGCTCTTAGACTATCTTCAATACAAAAACTTTTTTGAAAAAAAAAATAGTTTTTGAATATGTCATTTTAAATTTTTTGACTTTCTAGCAAAACATTTTCTAAGTAAAAGATTTTTATTTTATAAGTCATTCTCTTAAGTAAAAGCTTTTTATTCTATAAGTCATTCTTAAAAGATAAATAGATTTTATACATATTTAGATCAAGGTTGTCAAGATCGGAATCCTACGTAGGATCGTTTTTGGGTTTGCATGATCGGGATCGGGATCCTAAGATCCTACAAAATAAAATTTAATTTTAATTTTTAATTTTTAATCATGAAAAATATTTCAATCATTTAATTTTTCATTCAAAAGTTATAAAAACTTCAAAATATTAATCATAATTCACAACACAAAATGATAAATGGTAAATTGGGAAAGAGTAAAAGACATAAAATGGTAAAAAATTATTTCATTTGAAAAAAAAAATTCAAGGTAAGGTAGGATCGGATCGGATCTCGATCCTACGATCCTACCTACGATCTTACGATCTTACCTGCGATCCTACCCCAAATACGATCCGTTTACGATCCAGATCGTTTTTCATATCTAGGATCGTAGGATCGTACGATCCTACGATCATGATCGCGATCTTGACAACCATGATTTAGATGCACTAGGGTAAAAAAATTTCTTTTTTTCTTTTTTCTGTTAATTTTTTTAGTGAAAATGCTAGTTGACAAATAGAATAAGGTCTCTCTTATCCGTGCCGCATAAACCATGTGGAAAATATAGCATTTGTAGACTGTTTGTTTTTTAGAAGATGACTGACCTAAAAAGATATGTGTCCTCTTTTTAGTGTAGATATGGACTAGAGTCGTCTAACTTTTCGAATATCTTCTAACCTGAAAAACATCATTCTCGTTTTAGTCATTATATATCAGTAGCTGTCACACCCCCGAACCAGACGGCGGAAACGTCCGGGGGCTTGTGCGTGACTTCATCTTGAAATATCATTACAGTGAATATAAATGAAACATAACATCATCATCACCATGCATAATATAATACAACTGCCATTATTTACATCAAGTACAATCTTTTAAATTACATGACCAAAACATTCAATGTATGATGTTTAACAGTACACAAAACAAATTCTCATATTCTTGTTGATTCTTCCGCTTAACGAGTCCCTGAGAATACAAGTTATTTTGAAAACGTCAACATATATAATGTTGGTGAGTTCATAAGCATGTTTGAATGAAAAGTTTTGTATGGTTCGTAAAACACAAAAAAATCCGATATTTTCTGTAAAATAGTTTGAAAGTAATGTGTCAAAATCAAGTATTAATGCATGTGTGTTTGTTGCTTTTGGAATGTATAGATAAACAAAAATGTAATCCATTTAAAATCTTTTATTTTCTGTTGTAAGTAGAAGGTAGTGTATAAATGTATTTATCCCAGAAAATCCGATATTTTCTGCTTATAAAAGTATCGTAATCATAAAATCCCAAGACCGAGTATCGATGTATGTTTTTAGTATAGTCAAGATTTGTATAAATATATCGAATTCTTTGATGAAGTTAGTCTCTAAGTGGGCCGTTACAACCATGCTTGATAATGACTAATTCGTCTGTCTTGGCCTTTTCAGGCGCCGGTTTTGATGTATGTAAGGTTTGTCGCCCTAGACTGGCCTAGTCTAGCTGTAGTGAACAACTAAGGCGTGGGGGGTCACCCCGTATAGATCTATACACAAACTCCCGCTCTCCCTTCAGGAAACTCTGGTTATAAATACAGGCTACGATCATACACTCAAAGGTATCAACCAACAAATCTCACTAGATTCTCAACTTGTTTACGAGTAATGTATTTCACCAAGTATAATGTTAACGTGTATGTTTTAAGCTTTCAAATCCAAAAGTATGTATATGAATATATGAAGTTCAATAAATATGTAGAGGTATAGCTAAGATCCACTAAGCATGTGATTTTCAGTCCAAGCCCAATTAGCATGTAAATGGACCACTAAGGCCCAATAAACATGTAAAGGGTAATTGAGGCCCAATAGGTATGTAAATGGGCCACTAAGGCCCAATAAACATGTGATCCATAGTTCAGGCCCAAGTTAACATGTAAATGGGCTGCAAGGCCCAATAAACATGTCATGGAAACTATTAGCCCCAATATACACTTAAATGGGCCCTTAAGGCCCATTGGCCATGTAACGAGAGTATTAGGCCCAATAAAATTGTTATCGATGTATTTCGTCCATTCGTTATTATTTCGTTGATTATTTTAGCTCGAGGTTTACCAAGACAACAAAAATATCTAATTTTTGTAATAGTGACACTTTTGGCCCACTAGACCGAAAATATACATTTTAGTCACATTTTTGGAAAATTTGACACTTTTAATCCCTTAAGACTAAAAGTCTTCAATTTATGGGCTTAATTCAAATATAATGACCATTTGTGGCCCATTTTGGTTAAAATTTTACTTTCGGCCCAAAATTCATAAATATTTACAATTTCGGCCCAACTAAATATAATTTAACATTTTTGACCCAAATACATCTAAATGAATATTTTTTGCCCAAATTTATAAATTTTGCTGTTTTCGACCCATTTCTACAAAAATTACATTTTCGGCCTATTTTTCATAAAAATGACGATTTCGGCCAAATTTTATAAAAATAACATTTTTGGTCAAGTTTCTATTAAAGTGTCATTTTCAGCCCCTAATTCCATAAATTTACATTTTTAGCTCAAATTTGTATCAAATGACAATTTTATCCATAAAAATCAAGATTTTTACATTTTAGGAGCAAAGAAACCGTAATGGCCCATATTATGGCCCATTATGCGAAAATTTTTACTTTTAGCCCCTTTAAAGTCATAAATATCATAAAGACCCATTTTTAAAAGAAAATGACTCTTGTGACCCTTATAAAAGTTGAAAATAAACTAAAAACCTCAACTTTTTGTTTATGTGCCAAAAATGGTCCCTTTTTCAAGATTGTTAAGTTCCTTAAGGATCTTTGCATGTATATCACATTCATCTTTATAGTAAGTTATATGAAGTGTTTTTAGTTTAAAAAACCACTACTTTTGGTTAGAGATTTTCGAGATCTATAGTGTTTCATCACATAATCACAACTTAAATCAAGAAAAACACACATAAGGATGCACAAATACATAGATCTAACACATGGTGCCTTGTACTCTCCCCCAAAAACAAGATAAAACCAAAAACAAGGGGGGTATGAACTCATCTTTGCTTGTTGTTCTCGGTTTTGAAGAAGAAATGGAGAGATATTGGGCTTTAGCAAGCTTTCTTGAGTGATTTTCGAACTTAGGAAGTTTTTAAGAGTATGATCACAAACAATTGTTTAGAAGGAGTGTTCTAACATAAAAATGAAGTTGTAGAACTTGGATATATAAGGACTTACCAAGGATTGATGATTTAAAATGAAAATCTCTCTTGAAGACACCCACAAACTTTGAGAGAATATGGAGGGGAGGAAGGAGTTCTTAGAGAGTGTTTGAAATAAAAGTTTGAAGATGTGTGTGTGTTCGTTCTTGCTCTCAGCCGAGAGTAATAAGATGAGGGAAAAAGAATGATTTTTGCATGGAGGGTAATAGGTTTTATGGATGTATGTGAGTTTATAGATATATGGTGTGTAATTGTGAGTTGTCATCTTCTCCTGAATCCTGCCTTAATCTTTTTTTAACACACACACACACACACACACACACACACACACATATATATATATATATATATATATATATATATATATATATATATATATATAGTAACGACACGAAATTTCAAACCAAACTTTTCATTTTTAATTTCATGAAACACACATTATATTTTTAAAACACCAAGTATCAGTTAACAAAGTTTTCAAAACATTATGTCAAATCCCGGATCCACAAGATAACTCTATCTCAATTGTGTGTGTGTGTACAATCATGCCGGTGCCTTCCCGCGGTCCTCTGTAGTACCTGAAACACATATCACATAACACAGTAAGCACGCATGCTTAGTGAGTTCCCCAAAATACCACATACATATAATTAGCCACTTGAGCCTATAGTTATAAGAGACCTTCCGGTCAATGTGTCTCAGTGGGGCCTTCCGGTCCCACAACTTTGGTAGACCTTCCGGTCCTACCGATGATGACCTTCCGGTCCAAACCCTGTTGACCTTCCGGTCCAAACCCTACTGACCTTCCGGTCCAAACCATGCAAACATATACATATAACATAGAACATATATCTCATAACACTTATAAACACATAAGACCTTCCGGTCACACATAATTACCACTCGGGGTAAGGTATAGTGAGAAGACTCACCTC